GCTTTAATATATAGGGAGGGGAGGGAGCTGGAGGGGGGAATGGCAAAGACTAAAATATATTAATAAAAACAAAATAAAAATAAAACCAGAGAGAAAAAATAATAATAATCTAAAACCAAACAGCATAAAGAAATCATAAAGGGCCAGGGATTTAGCTAAGCGGTTTGGTGGCCTGCCCTTGCAAGCGCAAGGACCCAAGTTCAATCCCCATACCAAAAAAAAAAAGAATCATAAAGATCAAAGCAGAAATTAATGAAATTGAGACCAAAAAGAAATACAAAGAACCAATTAAATGAAGAGCTGGTTCTTTGAAAGAATAAACAAAACAGACACGAAGTAAATTTTATGAACTTACTGAGAAATAAATACTGCTCATAGTAGTATGAAGAAAAATCACATTACCTCCTTAATGTCCCAAAGTGCAGGTTCTGCTGGTTGTTTAGTTCTAATCTTAAAAATGACTTTGTGAAACTCCTCTGAACATTGAGAAAAACCTGATGGTACTAAGGAACCTAATTCTCCAGCACAAACATCACCTTGGGCTGCTTCTAAAATGTTTCTGTTGGGTTTTCTTAGACTTTTTCTCTTACCACTCAACGCAGCAAGGAGCTCTTTGTCTTAGGTGAGTGCTTGGAATTTGACAGGTAGCCTACTGTAGTCTGACACTGTTAATTTGCAAAATGAATAGAATGAAAAGTTTGTTGATAAATGACTGAAATAAATCAGACATAAGCTTAAATATTGACTTCTCTTATATGAGTAATCCAAAATATAAATTAAGTTGTAAAATAAATGATAGATAATACAAAACAGGGACACAGATCTTTTATAAAGGGAGGGGGACGAAGAGATAAAGATAGAAAGAAGGGAAAAGAGAAAAAAAGGATTTAAAAAAAATTAAGATTTCTGGGTACTGAGTCTTTTCAAAAAAAGTAGAGCTCCTCAACTCTTAGTTATTGTTATTTATCATTACTATGAAAAGCAGGTAATGCTTAATAAGTTCTTAAAAATATTTCAGGTATTATTCCACAAGAATTTTATGATTCATACAATGACGTAAACATGGCAGTATTTTAAGTTTCTTTTCTTTATTCCTTTTGACTGTCTGGATTTCTTCCTCTTTTTTGTTTTGGTTTTTTGGAGACAAGATCTCTCTATCTATTTCAGCCTGGTCTTAAATTCACTGTGATCCTCCTGCCTCACTTTGAGTGCTCCACCACACTTGATGGTTTATCATCAGGTTTTTATGAGTAACAATAATTTTAAAATTTTTTAATTAATTTTAAGTTAATGTAAATAAATATAATAATAAGACAGGGTCTAACTTTGTAGTGTAGGTTAGCCATGAACTATGTAGCCTGGGCTAGCCCTGAACACACAGCAATCCACCTGCCTTACTCAGCCTTCCAAGTTCTGGGATCACAGGTCTGTGCTACCACCCTGGTTAGATTTTATAAATTAAATGCAGCCAACACGTGCTGTAATAAAATATTTTCACCCCAGAAAGAAATATATCACTATGATATTTAAACTGTTCTGAGGAAGAAAGAAGGTTGGAAAAGTTCATAAATTCATTCCACAAAGATGGTATAGCCCTAGTACTAAAACCCAGCAAAGTCTATTACAGGGCCAGAAATTTAGCTCAGCAGTGCTGCACCTGCCTGGCAAGCGTAAGGTCCTGAGTTCAATTTCTGGTACCAAAAAAAAAAAAAAAAAAAAAAAAGATTACAAGTTATAACTGTAGTAGAAGATTCTAGAAATTAAATTTTGGCTATTTACTACCAATATAATTTACAATCTAACATAAAAATAGATTTACAATACTTTCTTTGCAGTATACTTAGAATATTCTTACCTAAAATTCAGAACATATATAGCATAAAATTTTTGTTAGGTTCCTAGACGGTCCCTCAAATAGGTGCACAATCATCTTCCTGATGCCAAAGCTATAACAATCAGGTTTCCTTGGAGAAATGCTGATTCTAAGATTAAAGCTGGGAATATATAAGATGAGCCTGTAGCATTTTGTCAAGTCAGAAAATAACAGTATTTAAAAATCAATTGGTGAAAAACAGAGGAGCCAATTAAAAGATTTTTCAGTTGTCAAAGCCAGAACAATTTGAGCAACAAAATAGATATTAATGGAATGAGAAACTGATAAATGTTACTACAGATGAAACACACTGAAAGCATATTAAGTCAAAGAGTACATTTTACATGATATAGTGCAAGAATAGATAAATTCACAGAGACAAATACATGAAAGGTTGATGGGGGCAGTTAAGAGGGAAAAGTGGAGAGTGGCTGCTAATGGGGTTTCTTCTCATGGTAATGAAAATTCCCAGGACTATGTAGTAGCAGTTGCAGAAACACAACTCTCAATATACTGAATTGCATACTTTACAAGAATAAATTCTATACTATGTAAACTGTATCTCAACACAGCTAGAATTAGAACTAAAAAGGAACAAAAGGTATAAAAGAAGTCAATACCCCACCAAAATGGGCAAATGATAAAATAAGAATTTTGCAAAGGAATACATTCTCAATTTCACTTGTATTCATGTAATTTTTAAACACAAATTTGTTACTTATAAATTGGTTGGTACTAATAATATCTAGATTGGTGAGTGTGTAGAAAATAGGCTTTCTCAAAATCTGCTACTGTTTTTTTTTTTTACATTTCCAGCAGGAATTTTACCACATATATCAAAAAATTTCAAAAGAGCTATTCTATAACTGACAGTTTTTCCTTTAGAAAATTATCTTAGGAACATAAATAGGAATATATACAAATATTAATCTTAGGGGCCAGGGATTTAGCTCAGTGGTTCCACCGCCTGCCTTGCAAGCCCAAGGACCCGAGTTTGATCCCAGGTCCAAAAAAAAAAACAAACCTACTAAATCCCAGGCTTTTCATTTCATATTTTAAAAATTTATCAACACATTAATCTTTGTCTTTATATGTTGGTCTACCAAATTGATGAGTTATTTTGGTTCTCATTTTCTTTGCTTTTTTGAGGATTTATGAAATCTGTATATATGAGTAGTATGAAAAGTATTAAGGTCCATCCGTCATTCTCCTCTCTCATCTCTGCTTTCTACAAACTTCCTTTTCTGTCACTACAGCTTGTTTGCTTGGAAATTTGTTAAGACAAATTTTGTTATGTTATCAATATATCTTTGTACCTATTTTCTACTGATATTAATTTTTAAGTAAATTTTATCATAACTATACTTAAATAAATGGATAATAAATCATTAATATCATTCAGTATCTGGTACATATTACAAATTCTCCGACTGCCTCAAAGATGATATTTGTTTTTCTCAAATCACACAAATCACAAACATTCCACACATCACTGCACTGTTTTATTATACCAAAGTATATACTGCATTGTAGAAAATATGCATTGTGTATATGGGGGGGGGCTATGTTTTTACACATGTGTGCACTATTAAATGAGAAACATGGTCATGAATGTGGTAGGTTTTGCACATTTGGCATATCGATAGTTTCTCTGGCAACCTTATGATTTCTCTAAATTACATGCTTGATTTAATTCATAGTCATTTGTTTGGGAAGAATATTACATATGTATTGGTATTAAATTCTATCATTATGCTTATCAAAAAATAATAAAAATAAATATGGGATAAAAAAAGAAACAGAAAAATCTGCTCTTAAAAATGTGAACTCTTTTAGTTGTTTTTGGATTTCAAATATATTTCTTTTCTGTGGGAAGTTTTGTTAGAAAATGTAAGTGACACAATCAACAAGCATATGATATTTATCAAATTAATAAAACCAAGGAGTTTATAAATCAAAATTTTGAGGACAGTTTCTCAACTATAATATGTAACTTTATTTTATTTGTAAATACAATATTTCAAAAATATACGAAATGAAAATGAGAAAGAATATATAATGATTGAAGATCGTATCAAACTAATAATGTATTTGGATTATCAGTCTGTTGCATAAATTTTTGTTTATTTCATACGCTTTTTTTGCTGTCATATATATGTATACTTGAAATTTTTATTTAGTATCTTCATTTCTTGTTATATATGTTTGCAATCTTTAATAAATAAAAAAAGAAAAAAGAAAAAAACTACTGGGGCTAGGGACGTAGTTCAAGTGGTAGAGTGCTTGCCTAACAAGTGAACACATGCAAGGCCCTGGGTTTGATTCTCAGCACCTTCATGGAAGGAAGGAAGGGAAATAAAATGCCCCATATCACAAAATATTGATGTTTAAATAAATTATGATGGATCTATAAAGTGAACTTCTTCTATTTCTTATTTGAGGCTCAGGAAAAGGGTTATATCAGAAATGATCGCCCTTGCACTCCGATGGGACAAGGATACAGCTCAGTGGTAGCTGCCTGCCTAGCATGCTCAAGGCCCTGGGGACACACCCCAGTACTGCCAACAGCGACACTGCATCCCAGCCTCAAACACGTCATGGAACATAACAGATGCTTATTTATATACCACACAGCAATAAGAATAAAAGTGAAAAGTTTACTAATTTTGGGAAATGTCTAATAACTGAAAAAGAACAGATTACTAAACACATATGGTTTTATCCAATCAAAATACAATACAGGTTGCCTACAAACATTAAAACAAGCTAATGCAGCTAACCCAGATTATTTCTGAATAGAATATTTTATTCTATGGTTTAAAACATTGACATTTTCCATGACAAATATGTATTAGCTTTATAATCACATACAAAATACATTTTCAAATAATGTATTACAATGATTCTTATTTTAAACAATCTTAGGTAGGTGTGGTAATACATGCCTGTAATCCCAGGAAGATAGAGACATCACAAGTTAAAAGCCAGCCCAGGCAACTCATGAGACCTGGTCTCAAAAAAAAGAAAAAGAAAAGGCTAGGGATCTAGCTCATTGGTAGACTACCCCTAGGCTTAACCCTCAGCACTGTAAAACACAGCAACAGAACAAAACAAAACCACCTCTTACCCTTAAGGTTACTTCTCGTGCTTTAGGGTTTCGAATAGACGGTCCTGATGAAACATAATCAGCAGTGTCAATTTCTATTGGAAAATGCTTTACGCACTTCTCATCACTGTTTAGTGCAGCTGGCCACTCAGTGCAGAAATCTGAGAATTTCAAAAAATTATCTCAATTATGATTTTGCCAGTCAAGTGTCAGTCACTGTAAAGCATGGTACCAGACAATACTAAATTACTGATATCACTCTCAGGTCATATGAAATGGAAGCAGAGATTCTCTTCCACATTTTACATATACATTTTCATCTCTTTGTTCCATAAAGGATTGGGCTTCATAAAGCCCAGTGATGAAACTAAATTTTAAAACTTCAGGTAAGATTTGGTGAGGAACAGTGTGTTCATTAAAAATAGGGACCTATAGGGCTGGGGGTGCAGCTTATGGTAAAGGATGTGTTTACCATGCATGTGGTTCTCAAAAATTTAAAAAGGGAGGTACTCTGCCTTAATGGAAGTACATCATAGCTCTCCATATACCTAGTCGAGGTCAATTTAATTCTTCCTCACCAACTGAAAGAAAACAAATTAACTATTATGCATAACAAACATATGCTAATTTAAAAAGTGAATAATGTGGTATTCAGAGTATTACAGCCTGTGAAAAACAATCCCAAATGAAAATCCACTTCTAAATGAACACTATTAAAGACCAGATGAAAGAACTGGAAAGCAGCTCTGGAAAAGCTCTAACATAGAATGAAGGTGTACTCGATACTCATCCAGAATTCAATTAAATGAAGACTCAAACAGGTACAAATCTGTCAGTCTTATATAGATCCTTATAGTTCCTGATGTTTCTTCTAAGTGATCTCTATGTCCCAAAGGAGTTATGGAAAGAGAAGAAACTTTGTTCTCATACTTGGGGAAGACAAAAGGCCTTAGAGTTGGGACTGGGTCTGAGACCTAAGCCACAACAGGAGGTTCTTAGCACCAGAACATGGCTTTGAAGCCCAGAGGTTTTAACTCAAGGTCCAATTGGGGGGTGGCTCCCAGCCTCCTGAAAGTATCAGCAGCTGACTTCATATTGCTCTATTCCTATCAGGTTAGTGTGGTAGAGAGCATTTGGCTTGGGATGTAAACTTCTAACACTATTGGCTCCCCTTCTCATTGCTTAACTGGTCTCATTCCAAGAATTAAAAACAGTTGCCTTCTTGGGTCAAGCACGTTATACCTCACAGATACATGTTTCCTCTAATAAATGCAGAAAGGCAGGTCATAATCACAGGTAGATGTGGTAATACTTCTACATAATAACCCAAGGGACAGGGAGTGGTATTTTGCCAGTTAACATTTCCCAAAGGTAACAGTTTTCCAATAGTAAGTACTACGTTTGCTCGCTTTAGGTTTGATTTTTAAATCACTCTGTAAAATGTCACTCTGGGCTATGAAGACTTTGTGATATCTGGGACTAAATATATGCTTGCAAAGAAAGCACAGGTCACACCATTCCCTAAATATCCTATTTAAAAGATCAATACTTAAAGGCACTATAAAGGCAAGCAAATATATTTGGAATTAAGAATATTTTGACATTTAAAAAAATGAACCAAGCGGGCTGAGGATTTGGCTCAGTGGTTCCACTGCCTGTCTTGCAAGCGCAAGGGCCCAAGTTTGATCCCCGGTACCATAAAAAGTAAAAAATAAAAAAAAAATTTGGGCCAGGGATTTAGCTCAGTGGTTCTGCCTGCCTGCCTGCCTGCCTCACAAGCATAAGGACCCGAGTTCAATCCCTGGTACCAAAAAACCAAAATTTTTTTAAATGAACAAAGTAAGACCACTGTGTTGAATTTCATTCCTGTTGTGGACCAATTTCAACGTCCTGCGCCATAAAATATATCACTAGCAAAGCATTCTGTTAAGAGTAACCAGTTTGGAGAATACTAAGAGCTCTTAGCTTTGTAATCAATCTTTATTCTTCTTTTAAACTGTGAATAAGCCATTTCTATCACCAGATGATAATTACAGTTGCTAAATTAAACTGCCTAGATTAAATGTCTAAAAAAATACAGCCACCATTCATCTGATAGAGGAACAGACTAGACTTTAAAAGCCCTTAGTTTTTTTTGGTACCGGGGATTGAACTCAGGGCCTTGCCTCACAGTGGCTCCACTGAGCTAAATCCCTGGCCTAAAAGCCATTGGTTTTTATTTAACTTCTGCCATTGACTCTTGAAGTTTTGGTAAATCTTCTAACATTCTTATACTTCAGATTTTCCATTTGCAAATTAGATATAAAAAATGAAACTCTGAAAAAAAATTGAGAAGGAATATTTGAAAAGTCTGAGTTTTTTGGAAGATGCAATCTAAATCCATGGGCTTGTAGAATTTAAGTAATATAAAAAATAACATTACTTTTCTGAATGCTATATAAAAGCCTTTCATTTATCATTATAGAAATATTTCACTAAATGATCATTTGTTAGATTATAAACATAAATTTTAAAATGGAAAAATGAAATTTTTCACAATGCATAGCAATGCATTTGATAAAGGGCTTTACAAAGGACTAGAGTCATGTTTGATTTACACCAAATGAATGAATCTGGAATAGTGAGCACTTCTAGGTCCAATTCCAAGTACAGATAAATACAGAAGCAGCAAACACTCTGAGGGGACAGGAAACCACTCTAGGGCCAGGGATTTAGCTCACTGGTTCCGCTGTCTGCCTCACAAGCACAAGGGTCTAAGCTAGATCCCTGGTACCAAAAACAGAAACAAAAACAAAAGACATTCAAGGTTAAAAAGCAAAGACTACATAAATGAAATGAAATAGATTTTTCTTGTTTTAAGAGTTAAGATTACCATTCCTACTTTAGGATCTCTTTATATTTTCTACAATTTTTTTGAATGGAAGTTCTTTCTAAAAAAAGATCAAATGTAATTACAATTATGTTCACTATCCAATTTTCCTTCCAGCATAATCAAGCTATTATGAAATATTTGTTTCTTTTCCCTGAAAAACCTTAACAAGTACACATAACATTTATATACTTTTATGTCAACATGGATATATTAGGACTATTAATAATACTAACTCTTCAAAAAAATAATACTAACTCTTCAATTAAACTATACAGTCAATCACTAAGAGCTGTAAACTAGAATTCAAGTGTACTTAACCTACGTACAGTCCGATGCAAATTAGGCATATATTTGCCTCTCTATTCAGAAAGTAGGAGTCGCAATATAAATTCTGCATGAAACCTATGTTTACATCTATGAATCAAGGCATACTGTTTAAAACCAATTAATCTACAATAATCTGGTGATTATTGCTGTTATTTATTCATTTGCATGTTATGTAACTTGCAGAGTATACATTGTAAGTATAAATAAATACTCTTCCTCTGGAAGTAATTATTAGAACTAAACAACAATTAAAAGGGAGCAATTTCTGGGATGAGAATCTGGGAATGGGAAAGAAAGTACATGGGACTTGCTTCTCATCACAGATTCTTCTGGTTTTTTTGTTGGTAATGGGAATTGAAGTCGGGTGCTTGTGCTTGCAAGGCAGGTAATGGAACCACTAAGCTAAATCCCCGGCATCAGGTTCTTCTGTTTGATTAAGCACATACATATATCGCTTCTAATGTTTTACAATTTTGTTTGTTTGTTTGTTTGTTTATGGTACCAGGGATTGAACTCGGGTCTTTGTGCTTGCAAGGCAGGCCACTGAACCGCTGAGCTAATTCCCCGGTCCCTGTTTTACAATTTTAAACAATTTCTTCATGATAACTCTTCTCTGAGGTACCCTAATATTGAACCCACTAGACTGCTCTGCCACTCAATATCCTTTATCTTTAGTTTGAATCATACTGATTTATACATATTAGCAAAACTTCAGTGTTTTTATATTTCCTTTCTATAATTTAACAATAGGACTCTCATCTACCTGTGAGCAAAGACTAAAGTTCCAACTTCTACTTAATATTCATAATACCTTGTAGAATGGTCAGCAAAGTTTTTTGCAGATTTGACAGCTAAAAAACTCACTGAAAATAAATTTTACCATCCTTTAAAAAGAGAAATCTATAATAACTCAGATTATAAGGCTGTATCTCATTTGACCTAAAATTCTTTATTTTATGTTCAAAGTCAATTATAAAATTTATATTAACAAACAAATCACTTACCTTTAAGAGCTTGGCAGTGCTTTTTAATTGCTACAGGAGTCAAGTGCAGAAAATTAGGGATCTAAAGCAAAGATATTGAAAGAATAAATTATAGCAAATACATTATGAGGTGGTCTCAAATTCTTGGGCATATGTCCTTCTGCCTCTTGCATGGCTAGGAATATGGGCATGAGCCACCAAATCAGGCTAAACGTTATAAAAACATGGGAAAGGTATGTTTCTCATAAAACTAAATGACAGGCCCAATAAACCATACAGTATAAAATACGACAGTTCTTTTACTATGTTAATTCTATGTCACAGTTGTTACCAGTTCAAGAAACAAACTTCTTTCTATATACATTCTATACCAATTAATATATGATGATACTCTGGTGTATCTTCTGATCATAAAAATTTTTCACTTTACCAAGTATCCTATGGTAACAAATCATGTTTTAAAAAAATGAACATAATTTTTATAATATTCTTCTCGTTATCAATCTATAGGTAAACACAAATATTTCCTTAATAAAACTGAAGGCACTTAAGGACACAGATCATTGTTTAATCATCCCAATTCTCCTAGAAAACCTAGCATGGTATCATTTCCACTTTATACATAATAAACATTTTATGAACTTAAAGAATAAAAAATGAAGCTAGTAAATCTTAAATGAATGGTTTTCAATGGAGTCAATGAAAATTACAGAGACTTAATTCCTTCAAAAATTAATTAACATTTACTACCGGTTTTTTTCAGCTGCCTGCCTGCCTGCCTGTCTGCGATCACCCGGCGGCGTGCGCACGAGCTCACCACTTTATACAATAAACATTTTATGAACTTAAAGAATAAAAAATGAAGCTAGTAAATCTTAAATGAATGGTTTTCAATGGAGTCAATGAAAATTACAGAGACTTAATTCCTTCAAAAATTAATTAACATTTACTACCGGTTTTTTTCAGCTGCCTGCCTGCCTGCCTGTCTGCGATCACCCGGCGGCGTGCGCACGAGCTCCCGGCCTGCGCGGGAGCTCCCGGCCTGCGTGACAACAGACCCAGGAA